CATGGAATTCTTTTTCTGGGTATGATTCAGGAATTTCTCACAAAATCATGAAACCAGAAGAACTACAACAAAGGATAATAACTAGGAAATTGGGGGATTAGGATCAGTTTGCATAATAAGCAATACTCAAAAGTGTCAAAGGATAGACACAGGAAAAAGTCAGTTATGCTGTTTAATGATAGCAAAATATGTGACAACAGTCTTGTCTTTTAGGAAGTGAATGGCGTTATGTCATCTTATCTACAGTGTGCTCTCTACCAAATGAAGAAATTGAGAAACAACCAGAAAGAAGCTGGCTTTCCAAACATCTGGGCTTTGTTGGTGATCCCAATCAGATAAATGTAGCCATCACCAGGGCCAAGGAGGGACTCTGCATCATTGGTGAGATAATGCAGCTGTGCAGATCTGTTTTTAAGAATTATGCAGACGTTGCTGAGCTCCTAATATACAGTTGTCTAAGAAAATCACTCTTGTTTACACTATTAATTGAGTTTTGGATTTTTTGAAATTACTACCACTGTCATATTCCTAACCTAGTTTCACTGAATAACCAATAACAATTATTTTAAAGCATGTTTTAAAAATTTTGGTAATTAAAACCTAAAATGTATTCAGTTATAAATATAATTTATTATTGTGTAGAGTAAACTATTCAATTCTTCATTATTGATACTCATAAGTCATAATAAGTTTTAATTTTAAACATTCACAATGCTACTTGTACATGGCAAATACCTCACCTGAGTAAAAAGTCTGACTTTGGTGCGTTGTCTGCAATTTGTAGGCAGCTTGTATGCAGGAGGCCATATTAGCAGTTGTAGTCTTGTTTCATATTTGCTTTTTGGGTGGTAAATGATGATGCAAATCAGCTGTATTGCTACTGTATTTTTGGCGAGACGTTTTCATACAGGTCAGTTTGATGACCAGATCATTATCTAGTTTTCAGCATCACTTTTTAAAAGTGGATGTTTCTAAATTCAGCAACATTACAAAGATGAACGAAGCAGTCTCTAACATGTGTCTATTGTTTCAAAGGTGACCAAGAATTGCTCATGTGCAGTCCAACTTGGAGACATCTCTTGAACCACTACACTCTTCACAATGCAGTGACAGGTGCAGACAAGATTTCAGTGTGTTCAGCCACCTGATTGATTCTGTGCTTTGTGAAGTTTGCAGCAGCAGACCAGAGCTCCTACGGGGAAGCTAGTACAATTTTATGATTTTTTTTATGTCATTAGTTTTCTTCTTTTTTTTTTCAGTTCTGTTTTTAAGTTTATATTGGAAATATTTATTTTATAACATTCACCTTACTCATTTGAAATATGAATAGTAAGTAGGAAATCCTACAACACTTCATTACATGAATTGCAAATATTGAATTTTGTATCACAGTGGATATTTCAGTTGTGTATCGTTAGCAGGAGACTTGGCATGTTATTATAGATCTTTTAAGTTAATTTAGGTATACTTGAGCTGTATGAACTATCAAATTGTCAGTAGTTCCTGCTTATTGATGAATTATTTTGTTTTCTTACCTGAAACCTTGGTTTAGCACTTAAACAGCCTCACCATTCAGTGAGCCTGTCACTGTTTTTAAGGAAATATTATAATATTGCTTTTTTTTTTTCGTTTTACATTTTTTTATATTGTATCTTCAGGGATCAGCTTTAGCTGGAATTTTGGACCAAAATCCTGGTTGTTTGTTGTATTGTTGTATGTATTGACATGTGTAAATTATAAGTTTGAATTTAAATGATATTGCTCCTTTATACCATGTTTCACATTGAACTCTGTCTTCAAATATATAGTGTAATAGTAATAATGCTCTCAAATTGATCAATATTCACTGTGGGTTTTGTCTTTGATTGGCTAATGAACTGTATTGAATAAATAATTAATAAACTGCTCAAAAAAAATGTAAACACATCCAAACTCAATCATGCTGAATATTTTTGGTGATAAGGACTGTTAAAAATGAAACAGTGCCACATTTATTTTGATGGAAATTAAAATCATCAGCTTACAGAGGGAAAAATTCAAAGACATCCAAAAAATAAAAGTAAAAACAATTTGCATGCTAGTCCATTTTGCCAAAATTTCATAGAGCCACTCAAAATGGTACTCAAAATAGTGAGCCTGACAACGCTGTCAGGCACACTATTGAGCCTGACAGTGCTTTGTAATGAGCTTTTTTAAAAGGAAAAAAGCTCATTACAAAACAAAGCTTCTTCGTTAGCCCTCATGCCATCTCTTTTCAACACCAAAAATATTACTCAAGAGGACAGCAGCTGAAATATGAAATCCAAAGATTCTGAACTGATCGTGCCCTGGGGGATCTCCTCCCAGACTTGTATCAGGGCATCACTGAGCTCCTGGACAGTTTGAGGTAGCATTGGATGGCCTGAAACATGCTCAGATGAGTTTGGGGGCCAGTTGGTAATATCAAATTCTTCATCCTCCAAAGAACTGCCTGGATAGTCTCACCACATGAGCCTGGACATTGTCGTGCATGACCTATGCCACCTGCATAGGGTCTCACAATGGGATTTCATCCCCATACTAATGGCAGTCAGGGTTCTGTTGCCTAGCCTGTAAAGGTCTGTCCCTGGATATACCGCCCCAGACCTACCACCAAACCAGTCCTGTTAAACAATGTTAAAGGGAGCATAATAAGCTCCCAAGCCCTTTTGATGTCTGTCACATGCACTCGGGGTGAACCTGTTCTCATCTGTGAAAATCACAAGGTGCCAGTGGTGTACTTGCCAATTCTGGTATTTTATGACAAATGCCATTCAAGCTCCACAGTACAGGGCAGCTCACTAAATGACACCAGGCCCTCAGGCCACCCTTGTGAAGTTTGCTTCTGATTGTTTGGTTAGATATACTGTATTTAAACCAGCCTGGGTCACTTTGATGGTGCTCCTGTGTTGCTTCTTGCACAAAGAAGCAGACACTGGTCCTACTGGTGGGTTAAGAACCTCCTATGGCCCTGTCCAGCTCTCCTAGAGTAACTTCCCATCTCCTGGAATCCTCTCCATGCTGTGCTGGACACACAGCAAACCTGTTGAAAATGAAACACATTGATGTACCATCCTGAAGGAGTTGGACTACCTCTGCAGCCTCTGGAGCATCCAGGTATCATCTCATGCTACCAGTAGTGACATTGATCATATTCAAATATAAACCTATGAAAAAACTGCTGGAAAAGATGAGGAGAAAATTGTCAGTGGCCTCCACCATTCCTCTGTTGTGGGTTTCTTATCCTTGCCATATAGTGCAAGGATAAGAATAGTGGTAATTTCATTAACAACAAAGCAGCTGAAACTGATTAATAACCTCCTCTAATACAAAGCTTAATTGACTTGATGCTATACTCAGATTAACAATGTAGTATGTATGGAAACGCTTCGAGCAGAGAACCCATGTCAGTACAAGCTTCAGTGTTTCGTAAAGCTTAATTTGCCCCTTACTGCAGTGCAATTTCAAGACAGCTGCGATCAACTCTCCCACTTTTCCTTAAGGATGACATTTTTATCCAGGTCATGGACGGGGATGGAAGTATGCCTTCAGCGAGGGACACGCCCACGAAATCATCTATTGAAATCATGCAGGAGGATTAGAAGCCAAGCAAATATAAACAATCAATCTAAATGTTAAACAGATGTTTAAACAGAAATTAAATTTTCTGTTAATATCAGCAAATTAAATATTTACAACATGCATAATTCATAATTTAAGTACTTGCAGGGCCAGTCACCTTTTTCCATGTTCACTGTGACATTAAGTTTTGTAGCTACAACACCAATAGTAAAATTCTCACGGAAGCAGCAGAAAAAAAGGAAGTGTGTGTGTGTGTGGAGAGAAAGGGACAGACTGTTATGTAACGCAGACGTAAAGTAAAAAATTTAGATACAATTTTGATTTTGATGAAAAGGACATCACATATTCTGGGCAGGGATAGCTCAGTAGGTAGAGTGGTGGCCCCATGATCGGAAGGTCGGGGGTTCGATTCCACTGAACAGCTACCCTGAGGTACCCCTGAGCAAGGTACCGTCCCTACACACTGCTCCCCGGGCGCCCAATGGCTGCCCACTGCTTCACTGAGTGAATGGGTTAAATGCAGAGAGGGATTTTCCCCACGGGGACCAATAAAGTACACTTTCTTCTTTAAAATAGCACCAGTCCTTTTCATCAAAATTGTATCTAAATTTTTTACTCTTTATAGCCAGTTAGGTTATATATTACCTAAAGTCCTAATGTTTTCATGAAACTTCCTTTTTTCCCCCATCTGAGCATCGGGGAAAAGGCTGTCTTGCAATTGTTGAGGTCACTAGTGTGTGCCCCATTTCTTCCAGGATCACTCTCTTTATAGGTTTTAGTGGACTCCTAGTACTGCGAAGTGGTTTCATGGTACAAAGGGATTGTATTCCAAGATCTGGGAGACTGTAGAAATGAGCAGTGATGCCCTTCCTACCATCTTTCCAGAAAAATAAGTGATCTGGAAGCTGTTAGGCTGACTTACAGCAGCAGCACTTTCTGCACCTGCAGAAACTCCAGGACACATTTACTAACGGTGTTTGTTGCTGTATGTGCTGCAGCTTTGAATTTTTTAATAATATATATTTTGTTAATATTTTGGCTATGGTGTCTTGTTATGAAATGTACAAGAGTAAAAGTGTTTTTAGCAGGTGCTTCAAAGCTAAGTTTGACTGGGAAACTCAAAGCTCAATAGTCTGTATCAACAGAAATTCACTGCAGCCTATGTAATATTTCATGCGTCATAATTTATTCTACTCTATCTTGCAAATACATATTTGTGTGGCAATGTCATGCACAACACACACAACTATTAGATCCTTAAGATCAAACCCGTGTCATTCTTTTGGTCCACTGCAGTGCAGTAGTCAAAAAAAAGAATAAGTGAAGTGTCCACAAATGGCCAGGATAGAGCCCAGAGTGTTAATGTTTAAAATGTATAAAAATATTATTGATTACAATTCTTTACTGTTAATATCAACAATAAGCTTTTTATTTTGAAATTACAAGTTTAAAAAAAATGCTGTTACATTTACATTTAATGCTGTTACACTGTAATCCTTTATTATAAGTATGGACACAGAATAAAGTGAACAACATTTTGAAATAAGTTTAATTGGAATTTTGTACTACGCAAAACGCAAAACAAAAAACAACAACATATTAAACAAACAAACAAACAGCCAGTGCCTTCATTTGTCCATTACATGTCAAACATAGCACTGACCCTTAGCCCCTGCTCATCAGCACATGCTTTCAAAAAGAGCTCCATGTCCTCTGCAAACTGAAAAACAAAGAGGAACAAGTCCCTTGCTCCAGTGTCTTCTTCCTCTGACATGTCTCTTAAGACCCTCTGCTGGTCCTCTTGATTTAAGGACAGATATTTGGGCATTGTTACTGTCCACGGAAAAGTGCCTTATTTTGGACAACCCACTGCACAGCAGGACGCAGATCTTCAACAACTGCTGGCTCCTGTGTCAGGCAAATGGGGATGAAAACATAGTTATTTCTCTGTTGCAGAACAGTTTTTTAACAGTTATTCAAATTTCACTAACCATGTAATTACACTACTGTTTAAAGTGAATACTGACCTGACTGACTTCCTGGAACTTGCGCTTTTTCAGTCTGAAAATGGGCACGTGTTGTCCTTCAAGCACAGCTTTGGCTTCCTCTCTCCAGTGTGCAAATAGCTTGCCAGAGCTACGAAGAGTAAGGCCACAGTGAGGGCATGTCATTTTCATGGACTTTCCATCAGCTGCAGTTTTATTGAACACAGAGGGTAGAGCAATGAATGTTCTAACAAAGCTCAGAAAATTCTACGAAGACAAAACCTTGGGGGGGAAGACGGGGCTCCTCGAAGAGTACTGCCGGAGGAATACGGGTCTCCTCGGAGAGTTCAGCGGGGAGCAGTCCTGATAATGGTGGCTGACTTGGCATTGAAGAATGCTGACAAGACAATAAATGCCTTGCCATATCCCCACGCCGTATGATTGTAATCTTACAGACAGGGCGGTGAAAGTGTCCTGTTGTCCTACAAGGCAGCCTGCACCGGCATATCATTTTATCTGTAAGAGAAAAAAAACAAACAAACAAACAGATGTAATTTAAATGTAGTTGTATAGAATGCAATCAATTTGTCTAACAATCAGATTGTACATGTTAACAAAAACATCCAAGCCAACCTCAATAATGAAAGCAAAATGGTATGGATCACAAAAGTTATGGCAAGAAAAGTGTGAAAAGTAAATAAAAATATATTTTATAAAAACACTATTTTTGTTGCAGATGAATGCACTGAACTGTACAATATCAACAGCAACTTTTAAGTCAACAAAGATACTGCAGAAGTGCTTAAAAAAGTGCATATTTATAACTATAAAGTATATTTAATACAAACATACCTTTGAAAGGCAAAGCATTTTTTATATGCACACTTAGATGCTCCTCAATCTTTGCCCTGACAGTAGGGCTGAAAGTGGGGCACAGAGGGCAGTGAAAGAGTCCTCTGCAACACGTGTTGCATTCCTGCAATTCTGGCTTTAAGCCGAATTCCAGATTGATGTGTGCATCTAAAACAGAGAGAGAAACAGATAAACACCATATACACATTTAAGTTAAGGTTTTAGCAGAAATAACAATTTACAGTTGGCATGTAATAGATTTGGGAAGAAAATTCTTGAAAAAAAACACAAATATTTTACAAGACACTTTAATTTGTGAGACATGTTTCTATTGACATATAACAGTCAATTGAACAGGGGCTAACTAAAATCTGGGCAATAAAAAAGCTGTACAGAAAAGAATGACGAATAGAAGTATTGATAAATATATAAATCTGTTTGTGACGAAATTTACAGTGTTGACGCTAACCAAAGGTGTCACAAGTACACACGTTCCTTACTACAGTTTAGATACCTCTGTTTAAAAAGCACCGACTCGACTTTTTAGTCAAGTCGAAGAAGAAGTACAGGGTCTAAAATATAATTTATGTACAAAATTTTGAAGTAATCTTGCGTCCAAAGCACGCGTGCGGGGGGCTGATTTACAAATGTACGGATTACAAAGTACAGATACGCGTGCTAAAATGTGAGAAGTATAAAGAAGTATACAGTAGGCACAAAAAAGTACAGCAGTAAAGTAAAGATACCAGAAAATTCTACTTAAGTACAGTATTGAAGTATTCGTTATTTTGCATCTCTGACGCCAACAATAAATCATACTCTAATGCAAAATGTGTTTTTTGCTTCTTCTCGCCCACAGAAGCCGTTAATCCAGCTCTCTTACTTAAACCAGGCCCAGGAAAAAGCATATCTGTGTGTTTCTCTGCCATGGAGCACGATGAAAATACATTAAAATAAGGAGGAATGTTGTTGTAACGCAAAAAAAGTGGCAACATGATCATTGTAAGAAAACTAGACGATTCCTAGAATTATGAAATCACTAACGGCAAATTTATTTAAGAAAGACTTAACCAACCTTTGCGATCAACTTGCAAAACTTCCACGGTATCCATGCGTGTTTACGGCTACTGTGGAGGTCACGTGCTTCCGGCTACTGTGGCGGTCACGTGCTTCTGACTACTCTGGAGGTCACGTGTTTCCGGTGAGTGTGGAGGTCACGTGTATCCGGTTACTGTGAAGCTCCACAGTGGCTGCAGCCAGACCCTTCTCTTTTATTGTGAAGGCCTTTGCCGGAAATGCTTAGTGTTTCCTCACTGTCGTTTCTTCCTGTTTGTGTTTCGTGCGATATCGTCCCACATTGCTGTGGAAGTTTTCTGTGTTCTCTGTAGAAAGGTGACGAGACACACGGGAACTGTTGCTGGAAAAATGTGACCGTTTTTGTTGAAAGGATGAGCGATTGTCGCGCGGACACCGTCGGTGGGGATAACTGGCGGAGACGTACAAGGAGTGCGCGAGCGTGCTGCAGACAAACCACCGAAGCGGGAGTTGACGAGTCCAGCGTGCTTCGGTGTCTGAACGTGGGAAACACGGAAGAGGACCATGACATGGAGGAGGACACCATCCTCCTCAAGCAGGACGGCCTGGAGCAGAAGGTCATGGCGCCCCGCTATAGTCTGCTGCGGGAGGTGGGAAGGGGAACGTACGGCGTGGTGTACGAAGCTCTGGCCCGGAGATCGGGTGCTAAAGTTGCTGTAAAGAAACTGCGGTGCGACGCGCCGGAGAACGTGGAGCTCGCCCTGCAGGAGTTCTGGGCGCTAGCAAGTCTAGAAAAAAGGCATCAAAATGTTGTTCATCTAGAGGAGTGCGTGCTGCAGAGGAACGGTATGGCACAGAAAATGAGTCATGGAAACAAACTGTCCAAGCAGTACCTGCGCCTGGTGGAGACATCATTAAAAGGTGGGGGTCGCTCTCGCTTAGCCCTACAGCTTTACCTGTTTGAGCTGAGATTAGATAAATTGGATAAAAGATGTGTTCACAATTAGTGCCGAAATAAAATAGCATCCTAGGTATTAGATAGTTGTGCTGTGTAGCAACATGTTTTGCTTTTAGGTTAATGTAACCAAAATAAGAGGATTATTCAGTGTACTTTTGACTTTACGTTCTAAGGACGGGGCACTGCGTCAGATTTAGATATGGATTTGCTGCTTGTGCCAGGGTTTTGTCATATTTTGCTTCAATTACTAATCATTGGGGTTCATTAGTTATCAGTTTCAGTTCTGGCTTGGTCACAATTTGGATCACTGGTGACCTGATTGTTACCCAGAGGAGGCTGTTTAATCTTGCTGGTTTTACTTTTTGTGATTCGTGCCTTGTGCTGGCCTGTAGCCATCTTTTAAAGGCCCATAATAAGGTTCTTATGCTTGTAAAGGTTAGTTTGGAGGGTTAGATTTGTCATTATAGCACAGTTGTTTTTGTCGCCATGACACAGACTCGCTGGGGGATGGGTAGATTTTGACACACTAAAATGGAGTCTGTTGCGTTGCTTGTGTTAGAGGTAATTTTCACATTCCACTCACAATCCGTGCACTTAAGACAAGTTTACACTTACACCGTTTTTGCTTTGTTGGTTTAGCCTGTCTCGGTGCCATCACCTCCCTGGCGATGCTTTCTTTAAACGCACAGTGACAATGTTATCTTAGGACAGTTTATCTCAGGCCCACCAGTCATTGATTGGTAGGTTTTCTCAGTAGAAGTGGCTTTTGATATGTGTATTAACATACACCACATCTGTGTTCTTCTTTCATAAGGGGGGGGGGGGATGTAGATATGTCTCACCATTTACTTAATTTACTTATGTAACAAGTACAAAAACCTCATCAAAGATTATTGTCTCAAGAAGATCAAAGAAGACGTGGGCAGTTTGCCTTGGATTAAAAACTGTGTTATGGGGCAATCGTGGCTCAAGAGTTGGGAGTTCGCCTTGTAATCGGAAGGTTGCTGGTTCGAGCCCCGGCTTGAACAGTCTCGGTCGTTGTGTCCTTGGGCAAGACACTTCACCCGTTGCCTACAGGTGGTGGTCAGAGGGCCCGGTGGCGCCAGTGTCCGGCAGCCTCGCCTCTGTCAGTGCGCCCCAGGGTGGCTGTGGCTACAATGTAGCTGCCATCACCAGTGTGTGAATGTGTGTGTGAATGGGTGGATGACTGGATGTGTAAAGCGCTTTGGGGTCCTTAGGGACTAGTAAAGCGCTATATAAATACAGGCCATTTACCATTTCTTTACAAAGTATTTATAAAATTTATTAACTTTTGTTTTTCTACAAGAAAACATAAGCTATAGACTGGTTGTTCAACACCTTTTTGACACTAATTCTTAGTGACATAAATATTCCCACAGTGTACTGGTAACACATTTTCTTGGTAAGCGAAAGGTTTAATTTCAGACAGAGACGCAAATCCCCTTTGGGGTTGCGTCAGGAAGGACAGCAGGCATAAACTCTGGCAAATCAAACTACGTGACAAGGGAAGCATCTAAAAGTAGGTTTTCCTAAAGACATGTATAACATAGACTCGATAATACACAACCACTTAAAAGAGAGTACAAATAATGTAGCAACTTGTCAGTACAGCATAGAGCAGGGCGATATGACCAAAAATATTTATCACAATATACATTTCAGGGCTCTCAAAATTTCAAAATCTCTGGTAGCCCTTCGGGCAGGGACTCTTCAGTTTTTGGTAGCCCAAAATAAATTTAAGTAGCCTGAATAAAAAAAGAGAGCAATTTTTTGTTTGATGTTTTGTTTCCTGTTTTGTTTCCTTTACAATATTATACATTAAAGTATAATATTGTAACGGAAACAAAACATTAATCAAAAAATTGTTGAAACACAAATTACAACATTGTATAAAAATTACAATCATCAACTCAAATACTTGGTTCTAATTGAACAGAAATTTCTATGAACTTGTAAGAACTGTGTAGGACATGAATCAGTCTGTGTCAGATCCTGAATTTGAAATTTCCACTGAAGTCACGGGTAAGAAACAAGTGGAACCAAGATCGAGGCCATTTGCTTTTTGAAGTTTGCAAAGACTGCTAAATTTTGCCAGTGGTAGTTCACTCTTTGCAACATAGTACACTGTTCTAAACAGATTTTTCAGGTTTATTTTTAGTAATGCATTTCTCATGGATTCTAATGGGGGCCTTTTTTAAAATTACTGGTCCCAGTAACAAAGGCGCTTGTCGATCGAGGGAAAACCAACAACACACCCGGCATTCGTTGTCAAAATAAGACGCGCACCAGATAAGAAGTTGCAGCATGCGGGACGTCGGGATAGCGATTTTGCAAGCCCTGCTTTTGGAAATTTGCGATAACGATATAACTGACGATATAATTGACACTAGACAAAATACTCCACAACTTTATTAGTGCAAAAAAAAAAAAAGAAACCCCATTAATGTTTTTTCACTTAAACAAGCAGCTGTTTTTTTATGTGCATTAAAGTTCTATAAATAAATAAAATTTAACAGTGCAAATGCAAATTCCTTGCTGACAGTTTAACCAAAAGGCATTTCCAGTGGAAATTGGCCGACATATCCTCAGCATAACCATGTATAATATCCACAAAACTTAAAAAGAGGTTATACACACACAATACAGTAATATTATGTTGAAGCACAGTACGTATCACTGCGCGAGGCTCCTGCCTACGATAGTCCATCAAGCAGTGCGGCTTAGTAGCTTAGCAAAGTCATACTAAAACATTTGACAGATTTTTGAGCGCCGTGTACATAAAATCGTTTCAAGATGAGTAAGCACAACCAGAATTCATACATAAGGCACACGGGATTACACTGTCAATTTTCAGAAAAATCAAAGGATTGATTTTAAACGTGCTGTGTGGTAATAACGACGGCCCGCTAGCATGCTCTACCAAAAATTGTGGTTTGTTGTGTATCTGACGGGCGAAAGATAAACCAGTTCCACACCACCGAAGTTGCAGCATTTTTACAAACCAATTCTGGTTCATCTGTTTCATTCAACGATCCGCTTTCGCCCTTCACATTCTCTGTCGCCGCTATGCTTTTTCCACCATGTGTGCATGAAAACAAAGGCACTGCGCAGGCGCATTTTACCCATATTCTATCGCGATATTCCTCTTTCTTATCGTTGCCTAACATTTTACCGGTATTAATGTGAACGGTATGATATGGGCCAGCCCTAGTACAGCATACCCTGTTTATCATACATCTGGACACTTACGAGGACCATAACTTGCAAAGGGATCATTCAATTCAATTCAATTTTATTTATATAACGCCAAATCACAACAACAGTCGCCTCAAGGCGCTTTATAATGTACAGCAGATTATACAATAACAGATACAGAGAAATTATAGCCAGCCAGTGCAGCAGCCCCAACATGTCAGTAAAATTGACACATTTTGCTGCGTCTATTTCTGTAATTCAGTGTCAGTAATGAAAATGAATGCACATGCTGCTTTCAGTGCTGTAGCCTGTATAATTATATCGACAAAGGAAAATAAAAATATATTCTTCAGCCGACCAGAAAAATCCCCAGTATGCTAGATTACCAGTGCAGCCCTGTATATAGACCTTTTGTAGATTGTGTACAGTGTGTATCACTGCTAGATATCAGTAGATTACATTTTCAGCCAACTGCAGTCAAAAATGTAATCAAACTGTTTGTCAGAGGGAAACTGAGTTTTAGCACAATGTCGGGAGTAAATAAGGATTTTTATGCACATAGTGTGTGTTAGAGCCCTGATTTCAATTTAGGAGATGAGTTTTGAGGTGAAGTGGAGGAAAGCTGTGGAGGGGGCAAAATGAGAGGGAGATAAAGAAAATCATGTTAAATAGTCATATATAATTTGAATGGGGCTGCAATGATTCATCGAGTGACTGGAGTATTTCTTATCCGATTACTTGAGTAATTGATGGAATACTCATTAAATTACTCGATGACTAACTGTTTCCCATCTGTAGAACTGGAAGTCTTTTTGCACATCGAGATGCCTGCTGGCCATTAAAATGAATGCAGGTCTAAGGCACTTCGTCATACCACATACACATCACATTGATAAACTGTGTCATTCTACATTTTTTTTTCTCTTTTTTTTTTATCATTTTTGTTTTTACTGTCTATCTGATAAGTGTCTCGCTGTTACAGGTGAGAGAGTGCTTGGCCCCCCAGAGGAACCTTGTTACCTGTGGTTCGTCATGGAGTTCTGCGAAGGAGGAGACCTCAACCAGTTCATCTTATCTCGGCGACCCAACCCACGAACAAACAGCAGCTTCATGCTCCAACTAACAAGTGCTGTTGCTTTCCTGCACGAAAACAATATTGTTCATCGAGATCTCAAACCTGACAACATCCTAATTTCAGAGAAATCAGGGACTCCAGTTCTGAAGGTAGCAGACTTTGGCTTGAGTAAAGTTTGCGCTGGTTTAGGAAACACCAGTGAGGGAAAAGACTGTGAAGACAAGAACAAAAACGTCAACCTCAACAAGTTTTGGTTGTCGTCTGCTTGTGGCTCAGACTTCTATATGGCTCCTGAGGTGTGGGAGGGCCACTACACAGCCAAGGCTGACATATTTGCCCTGGGCATCATCATCTGGGCCATGCTGGAGAGAATTACTTTTATTGATTCTGAGTCTAAGAGGGAGCTATTGGGTACCTATGTGCGACAGGGAGGTGACATTATGCCTGTTGGTGAGGCACTTCTCGAGAATCCAAAGATGGTACTGAGCATCCCACAGAAACGCAGGTCATGTATGTCAGATGGAGTGAAAAAGCTGCTTCAGGACATGCTCGCTGTCAACCCTCAGGACCGACCAGATGCTTTTGAGCTGCAAGCCAGAATGGACCAAGTTATGTGTACTACATGACCCTCAGCCATACTGTTCTACAGGTACACGTCTCGTTTTAATCACCCTCCAGCATTCTGTTTTGCTGACGGTTATTCTGCCTTCAGTTCGTCTGCTAGTACTGTTTGTATTGTTTAGCTAACAGCATTCCTTGTCCAGATTTGCTCCCTCTGCTGAGTCAAAGTGAATTGAAAAGAAAAAAATCGATCTGAACTCATTGTACATTACTGCTATCTGAAATGTTCAGCCTGCTCTGTAATGTACTGGAGAAGTATCATATGAAGTAACTTCAGATCATCCTTTAGACTGAGACAGTTTGGGGAATTTCTCTAAAGCATTGCCAATGCTATGTCAATACTACTTCATATGAAATCAAGATATTATTGTGGTTTAACATCAAATATGCTTAGTATTGACTGCACAGGTTTTATTTGATGTTGAGGACCAAGAAAATAGAAAACTAGCAAAGGAACCAGCCGCCAAGGAAAAGTACAAGATAGGAAGGCCTTGGGCTACCTAATTAATTCTTAAACTTATTACTAAATATTATTTAGTCAATATTACTACTGAATTTTTTTTTATTCACTAAGTACCTTCTGACAGAAAAGTGGGAAATATCACCAGCCGATCTCCAGTAAGTCTCTTATTCTGTAAAGGAATAGAACCTTCCAGTCTTGAACTGCAGCTCGCCCCAGTGGTAATTGCTCAGCACATAAACCAGTCTTCCACCTGCTGCAGCTTCTGTAAAGACAGGCATACACTGTGTGACTTTTTTTTTTTTGGCCCATTTTGAGACGATTTTTCACCTGTGTGTCGTGCATCGTGTAGTATACATGGGGTAATGAGAGGCGATTAAGACCTCATGACCATCTCCCGATCAACGGTCGTATGGTCACAAGAAAATCAAACCTGTTTGAAATCCTGGTCACCTCTCGTGAGGGTATCTCACTGATGAAGCAGTGTCACAAGCTGATTTAACGCAACCTCTCACGCTGCGCATGCGCAAACACAGAAATAGAAGTGAAAAAAGACAGAGCAGCATGGCAGTGCAGTGTGGGATCTGGACACAGATTGCCGTCTCCCCACTTCCGGGTTCCTCTTACATTTCCGGAAACAAGAACACCACGTGTTGTGTATGGACGCACACTGTGAGCAATCAGGTTACATCAGCACGTTGGGCATATAGTGTGAGAACATGCATTATGAGCTACGAACTTCTAACTCCTGCGATTCAGTCGCACAGTTTGAGCAGGAGCTGAATAACGCGACTGAAAAAATCGCAGTGTATGCCCAGCTTAAGAGTGACCCTCCAGCTCACTGTGGATCTCCAGAGCAGATCAAGTGCTGCAGTCCACAAAGGTGGAGACTGAGAGTTATCATTCCATAGGATGATATGATTTTGGTCAAGTAGCTGAATGATATAAAACACCAGTGCATCAGCAACCTAGCCAGCTAGCCAACATAGAGTAAAAACCATAGACAGCAGAAAAAATAAACACAGACTGTTTGATATGACTCCACATGAACAACTGATTGCATAAATCCACACAAACTCTTGACATCTGGTGGCCTTCAGGTTGGCATTTCCAGCTTGGTCTATGGTAAATATAGAGTAGCATCAAAGGTAGCTAGTTAGCACTTTTCAGTTGACTGAGGTGGATCATCCACTAGTAAACTTATGGTGTCAATAATAAGTTGCCATATGTATTCAGGAAAACAGTCCAAGTAAAGTGTGTTTGGGGAAGCCGTGCGTTGTATATCAGGCCAGTAAAGTATGGAGACAAATTTGCCTCACAAAGGTTGCAAGTACGTATGATATGATCCACAAGGGTAAACTAAGCCTTACAAATGTTCTGTGATTTATGTGTAACATTTAAGGACTCCCGCATGTGCTTCAATCCACACAAAGATATGAAGCAATCTGACCACATGTAAAACTGTTTTACTAATGCATATATCCAAACCTGAATCAACACTGATCATGTACGCAAAATTTATGAAGTTCAACTCATGAATCTGATCATTTTCTTGATGTATGCATTTGTAAAAGAGTTTTACATGTTGTCAGATTGGTTCATATTTGTGTGTGGATTCCCTACTTTACTGGCCTAATATACAGTGCACGGTTTCCCTTCTCAAGGATTGTTCTGTCTCCAGCCTTGGTGGGGCTGTTCTCATATTGTTCCCTTGCCACTAAGCATACACCTTGGATGGTTCAGTGGAGAACGGCTGGTTTATTCTCCTGGCTTCTGTTCCTATATCTCTTCGCTTTGCAGTTTTCAAAGACTCCGGTATGGACAGTTTGCTGTACTTCTTAGGCATCCCTTTCTTCATCACACTTCTCTACATTACAGATAGTTGGCTGCCTTCCCCATGTGTTGCCTTGAGCTTATCTAGTCTCCTCCTCCATGTAGAGTACTACTGCTTTTGGCTGTTCATCTTGTAGCCAAGCATCTGAAGGACCACTGCTGTATTTCTTTTAATATTGGCTCTGCCCTGCTGTCAAATTAAAGAGAAAATTGGATCGTCTTCTGAGAAACATCTTTGGATCGTCTATTGCTGCCTACCTGTGCTTTAATAACAATCTATATTATTCATATGAGAATTCTCATTTCTGTTCCAATCTGGTTCCTGTACGTTATTTGCCTCAAATTACATTTGAGGTGTGAGCTACTGGGACCTATTATACAGAATTAATTTATTTGTAATAGTGGGCGGGGCATTTGTTTGTGTAGTGCCTACATACTTTATTTAGTGACTGGACTCTGGATATTTGTTCTCACATGTATAAATGCCTGTGTGTATTGTGGTGGTGCTAACCAAGACCACTGGTTGAGTAACCAAAGCCCCAGTTATCCTTTGACCTCTGAGCCACAGATGGCTGTTATAAAGGGAGCATACATTCCCTTATTGAACATGGTCAGTGCACATGATGGGTGAGCGTTGTATGCCGTGACTGTACAACACACTATGCTTGTGTTTGCCATTGCATAATGTGACATTGGGGGGTGGGGGCACTACAAACCCAGCTGACCTCCGGTCTCTTGCTCTGCTTTCTTCCTCTAAGTGTTGTGAAGACTCCCACCACCCCTGCATGCATTGTTTCAGCCATCCCCCGCTCAGCTCCCTGCACGTTTTCCATGCTGAGCAAGACTGTCATGAGTTCAAATGGGCTGACTCATTTACAGTTTAATAATTAATATTTATGCAAGTAAAGTCACGAGCACAGATTTTTTTTTTTTTTTTTCTGCAGTGCGAAATTTTGCATCATTGGATAAACATCAGAGAATGCGTATATGTTTGTTTTTCTTCATTGCAGTCACCGCATGCTCCTTTCAAGGCTAACACACATACTGATTCACTAGAGTCAAACACGCAGATATACATGCACAAAAACACATGAATACACACCAAATCTCCAACATCCAGAAGACACAATACTGTCAGTTATTTTGTCTCCTACTAATGTGAAAACAAGAAGAAGAAAGAAAGGAAGGGTAAAAGCTGCCAGTATTTTTGCATTTTTATGTGCGTGATGGTGTGCTAGTTGTTCTTCAGCAAGGAAGGAGGGACAAGAAGACTTGTAGAGGTTTGCTGACCCAATAGGTCTGGAAGAATTGCAGCCTCAGTGTGTACAGAGATACGAGAGAGAGATGGTATTTGTTCTGCTGACATCCTAGTTAACTCTCTTTGGCTTAGCTACAGTTCACAATGACCTAAAAATCACCAAATATTCATGTAAAGGTAAGCTCTCCATCACACAATTGCTCCAAAAGGTAGTCCTGTGTGATGAGCGTTTTGAGTATACAATAAACCTGTTCTGAATAGTATGTTGCAAAGGGTCTGTCAGATTCTCGTGTTGCATGAAGCAACACTCATAAGTCAGCACTCATTATCAATGCGTATTCAGATTGCAGGATGAAGCTCCAAATCCCTGTTAAAGCTATCTAAGTCACTTATGTAACAGTACAAGTGGAAATGCATGACTGCATAACTGGGTGCAGTCTGCAGGGAAAGGCGTAATGGTTAAGTCACATTTAACAAAGGGCCTGTTTGTGCTGCAGAATTCAGCAGAGTTTTTGGATCCTCTCAGCTCTACCATAAACACATCTGTGCAGTCTGCCATGCTGCCACATATTTTTAATGTGTGAATATGACCAGGGGATGCAAGGTTTTTGGGAGCTGATCACATAAACCCGGTTTTCACATATTCCTTTATTTGACCACCATAATGTTACATTGTCATCTCTGCCAGCGATTTGGGGTTGGTCTGGCTGAGATGGATTCTTTTATGATATACCCTGGGATCTGCCAAGTGAAACATTTGTTTTGTCTTGACTCTAGAGTCAGCTTACTCACTGTTCTTGTAGGTTACAGTATTGATATTCACTCATTTGATATACTGCTGACTTTGCCCTTGAAGATATTTCTGTGTAATTCAGTTTACATTCATTGTCCATCTGCTGGAAGCAAATGTGTGAATTGCTTAACGTGTGTGCAGTCTGCAGTGGGCATTGCTGTAATAAATTTTGGAGCTATTTACTGCAACAGGTACTGATTCAGCACATCTGCTGCTCTTTTCACATACTCGCCACTGCACATAGATCAGCCTTGTAGAATGTATGTCACTGAGGTCTGTCCAGTTGTCTCTATGCCATACATGTTTTTCTGAATCTGAACAACACCTGGCACCGATCTGAAATCCTCCAGGGGACAAGGAAAACACTTTTTAAACATGTTATTATTTTTAATGGCAGATGTGCTGCTACCAAACAGAAATGTGTCAGGAGAGAAGCAGTGTGCAGTTTGATCTTTTAACTCCAAAAATCAGCTAAGATTGACACGCTTGGTTAGAATATTTGAAGTCACAAATGTGTGTTAGACAGATGTCACAAGGCCCTGAGGCACATGAGGCACATGCACATGGCCTCTAGTGAGGTCAGCTGCCCATTGCCTCTGGTCGATCCCAGCAACAGTCGTCTGGGATTTGGTGCTGTATAAATAAAATTGAATTGAATTGGTTCTTTGGGACTCTCGTCCTTCTGCTGGGTTGGATACACAGTTGTTGCCAAAATGTGTGGTCTCAGGTCTTCTCAGGTACTCTTTTGGGCTGTGGATGGCCCGATCTCCTGGATCTATCTCTGTCTGCCTTTGGCTCCTGGGGATTGTTATTGCAACTAGCCACCCTTGTAATCAAGCACATTTTGTAATTTCTCTCTCTCTCACACACAGTCAAGGAACTTTGGCACAGCGGTGCATTCAGATCATAATTCTGATGGCAAAATGTGCCAGACATTACAGGTTTTTTTTTTAATTTCTAACTTTATAGCAAATGAATTTATCCTCTGTATTTGTAATATAGGACTTTAGAAAAACAAAACAAAAACTTTGTCACTTTGTCCCAAGCTTGTCCACCTCCATGTCCCACATGTAATAAACCAAAGGTTTTGTGCATCTGTCTGCTTGTTCACTGGTTCTCCTGCTTCTTTGCAGATGTGTGTTGCTGTCCAAAGCTGGTGCGTCTGCCTTCATTCAACCTGAAGACTGTGAAGATAAAGAAGTAAAGAGCAGTTTCTCCTGTAATGTAGATGGTGAAATGGGATCATAATTCTTTTGCTTGTTAGATTAAATTCATTTGCCAGTGCTACTGATAAATGATTTGTTTCATCTTCACGATGGGAATAGATGGAATGGATAAAAGAGATGCAGCAACATTTTCATTTCACACTTGACTTTAAATGGCGACACTTTGGTCGCCAGCCTGGAACTCTGATGATATTTAATGAAAACACTGTGATGTAAGATAAAAACTGCTGCTGGAAAATTTTCACTTGATGCGGTGGAGCGTGTGTGTGAATTTTTTCGTTTTGTTTTGGGGGTGTTTTTTTTTTTTTTTTCTCTCTAAAAAGTGACAGCTTTCTGATCTTAGGACATGATAGAAAAGCATGTCAGCTGCTTTTTTTTTTTTTTTCTCTGTTGGGTTTAAATTCTAGAATTAAGTAATAATAGCTGGTAAACTCTGTTAGCCTCTGTAATAATTCCAGATGTTTTAAGCCTGAATTTGTGTTGTGGTCCCATTTGCCATCTTTCCAAGCTGCTTGTAGGCTGTCTTGCAGGCCAAGGTGTCAGTCCAAGCTGACAAAATTTACTAATCATTTAATCTACAATGTGCTTGTCCATCACAATCCACGACAATCAGATCTACTCAGCTGAAGGTAAAAGGGTGTATCTTCACATTTGGGAAGTGGGACCTATTCATTACACTCCACCCCCTCCTGGTCACTACTGCATGCTTTCTTACTGCAGATTGCACCACCTATACAACATTTTGGCTTCTTTTTTGAATATCTCTCATTGAAGTTGAACTTTAGTGACACATCACCGCTCCATGTGTCATACCTTTAAATTCAAATTTGCACCAGCTGCTTCACCAGCTTTGATTTTGCATGCAACTACATGATCCAGGGTATATGGGCCTTGATAATTTAGCTTCTTCAGTATTTAATTGTAATTATAGAAAAGGGAACCATGAATGTAATTTTACCCAAATAAGTTTTCCATTAATTTCAAATGAGATGGTGACTCAGCAGTTTGTTTTTTTCTGTTCTTGGAGCTTTTGGCATGCAAAGTCACATTTTTACTGGGAACTGCAGTTGTGCTGTTTGAGCAAAGAAGCAAAGCTGCTGATGTCTTTCAAATTTTATGCAGTTTAGTTGTGCCTGGTATCAAATGTTTGAATGATTGCATTTGTAAGCAGAGGGAGATGTTAGTGCAATGACCCCCAGCTCAATATTTTGGATTCAGTTGGCTGCAGAGTTGCACTGAGCCAACTAAAAGTTGTCTTTGTAATCGTGCTACCTCCTGTTTCCCCTTTTTCATTGAGCCATTCCTCACACATTCTGGGTAGATTTCATTTTTGCTTCCACTCATCAATGTCTGTTCTAATTTTCCTTGATGGCATGTTTAAAAAGATTTGCATTACAAGAACATCACATAGGTTTTGAAAAATCTGCTGCTGCCTTGTTTCTCCTTTTGTTCAGTGTGTTTAAAAATTAAAAATAACAAAACCCTTATTAACACTGACAGAGATGATTAAATTTATTTAGCCCCGGATAGGTCATGAAGCTCTTAAAACAAATGTTAATTTCCTGACCTTCTGTGATGAACATACCTCAGCTCACCTCCTTTGTTTTATTGTTTTTTTTAATGTTTTATTGATAAACTGGAGATGAGTTAATTTGAAGAGGGAAACTTGAAATGACTGTTTTGTTGTTGTTGTTGTTTGTTTTTTAAATCAAGACTTCTGATCTATTGTTTGATTCAAATGACTCTTCTTAAAATATTATCCATATACATTCTGCTCCCGCCTTGTGCTTTCTTTTGCTGTTCAGGTTATGGAACTATTACGCCTGTCTAAACTTCAGTGACTGAGTCACTTGTTTTCTATGCAATCCAGCCCTGGCTAATTTGGTTGTAGCCCTTTGCTTCACATCTCTACAAATTGAACACTCTACAAATCATTGAACACAATGAGGTCCAGAGTTTAAGTGGCTGACCCTTTGCAGCAGTCCTTCGTTCTGCCTTTGACTGCTAAAGCCATTTGAATAAATGGAAATGTTTGTGGGGTTTTTTTGTGTTTTTGTTTTTTTTATTGCCAACTACATAAAGGAACTGTTTTAATAAAGGTTGGAAATGCCTCTATTCTGTGTGACTTCTTAACATTGACATCACAGCGACTGGAGTGTTGGTAGGTAAGGGGAAGTTTTTGATGACAAATATTAGGATTAAGAGTCAAGTTTATTGTCATTACACATGTATAAATACAGGGTAATAAAATACAGTTAAGTATACAGATGTTTATATTGCTAAATGAACAGATGAACTCCAGACAAATGTAGTGTTGTATACATACAGTGGGGCAAAAAAGTATTTAGTCAGCCACCGATTGTGCAAGTTCCCCCACTTAAAATGATGACAGAGGTCAGTAATTTGCACCAGAGGTACACTTCAACTGTGAGAGACAGAATGTGAAAAAAAAATCCATGAATCACATGGTAGGATTTGTAAAGAATTTATTCGTAAATTAGGGTGGAAAATAAGTATTTGGTCACCTCAAACAAGGAAAATCTCTGGCTCTCACAGACCTGTAACGTCTTCTGTAAGAAGCTTTTCTGTCCCCCACTCGTTACCTGTATGAATGGCACCTGTTTGAACTCATCATCTGTATAAAAGACACCTGTCCACAGCCTCAAACAGTCAGACTCCAAACTCCGCCATGGCCAAGACCAAAGAGCTTTCGAAGGACACCAGGAAAAGTATTGTAGACCTGCACCAGACTGGGAAGAGTGAATCTACAATAGGCAAGCAGCTTGGTGTGAAAAAATCAACTGTGGGAGCAATCATCAGAAAATGGAAGACATACAAGACCACTGATAATCTCCCTCGATCTGGGCTCCACGCAAGATCTCATCCCGTGGGGTCAAAATGATCATGAGAACGGTGAGCAAAGATCCCAGAACCACACGGGGGGACCTGGTGAATGACCTGCAGAGAGCTGGGACCAAAGTAACAAAGGTCACCATCAGTAACACACTACAACGGCAGGGAATCAAATCCCGCAGTGCCAGACGTGTTCCGCTGCTGAAGCCAGTGCATGTCCAGGCCCGTCTGAAGTTTGCCAGAGAGCACATGGATGATACAGCAGAGGATTGGGAGAATGTCATGTGGTCAGATGAAACCAAAGTAGAACTTTTTGGTATAAACTCAACTCGTCGTGTTTGGAGGAAGAAGAATACTGAGTTGCATCCCAAGAACACCATACCTACTGTGAAGCATGGGGGTGGAAACATCATGCTATGGGGCTGTTTTTCTGCCAAGGGGACAGGACGACTGATCCGTGTTAAGGACAGAATGAATGGGGCCATGTATCGTGAGATTTTGAGCCAAAACCTCCTTCCATCAGTGAGAACTTTGAAGATGAAACGAGGCTGGGTCTTCCAACATGACAATGATCCAAAACACACCGCCCGGGCAACAAAGGAGTGGCTCCGTAAGAAGCATTTGAAAGTCCTGGAGTGGCCTAGCCAGTCTCCAGACCTCAACCCCATAGAAAATCTGTGGCGGGAGTTGAAAGTCCGTGTTGCTCGGCGACAGCCCCAAAACATCACTGCTCTCGAGAAGATCTGCATGGAGGAATGGGCCAAAATACCAGCTACTGTGTGTGCAAACCTGGTAAAGACCTATAGTAAACGTTTGACCTCTGTTATTGCCAACAAAGGTTATGTTACAAAGTATTGAGTTGTATTTTTGTTATTGACCAAATACTTATTTTCCACCCTGATTTACGAATAAATTCTTTACAAATCCTACCATGTGGATTCATGGATTTTTTTTTCACATTCTGTCTCTCACAGTTGAAGTGTACCTCTGGTGCAAATTACTGACCTCTGTCATCATTTTAGGTGGGGGAACTTGCACAATCGGTGGCTGACTAAATACTTTTTTGCCCCACTGTATGTACAGATGTACCGAGTGCTATGAATATAGCTTTCACTACTTAAACAGTAGCAGAGGTGTAGTGCTCTGAAAAGACTATAATACTGAACAGTGTACGCTCTATAACAGAGACTATGCTATGTCAGTGTCCTGAACTATAGCAGTATCCAGTGTGAGCATATGGTGGAGGCTGAGAATGAATGACAGTCATGATCTTGGTCATCGGGAGGGATAGGGGGGAGGAGGGGCGTAGGAGGGTTGAGTAAGTGTGGATGAGAAGGTTCAGCAAGGGACTGAGTTCAGTACGATGACAGCTGTGGGGAAGAAGCTGTTCCTAAACCTGCTGGTTTTACTCTGAAGGGTCCTGTAGCGACATCTGGAGGGGAGGAGCTGGAAGAGTTCATTGGTAGGATGAGAGGAGTCCCTGAGAATGATGCGTGCCCGGTGTAGACATCTCTTCTTGTGGACATCCTCAATGGCAGGAAGTGGAGTCCCTGTGATGCGTTGGGCGGTTTTCACCAGTTCCCATACCAGACCGTGACACAGTTGGTCAGGATGCTTTCTATTGCACAGCGGTAGAAGTTACCCAGTATGTCAGCAGACAGGTGGTTCTTCCTCAGTGTCCTCAAGAAAAAGAGGCGCTGATGAGCCTTCTTGACCAGGCTGGAGGTGTTAGTTGACCAGGACAAATTCTCAGAGATGTGGGTGCCCAAAAACTTGAAGCTGAAAACCCATTCAAAATGTATCAATTTACTTCCGTCCATGGTCCATCCGTAAACTGTCTTCTGTATATTTTAAAGTTAATATGAATTCTAAAAGTCTTCCAGAGCAGTAAGTCGTGAAATGGTGGGTAGGTAGAATAGGTCTTGAAAAAGACAAATATACCCATATTGAGTATGCAAGAAAGTGCTGAGAAATTGGGGGAAACTAAAATCATCCATCCATCCATTCGCTTATCCTTTACAGGGTCGCGGAGGGCGCTGGAGCCTATCCCAGCTGTCATAGGGCAAGAGGCAGGGTACACCCTGGACAGGTCGCCAGTCTGTCACAGGGCTAACACATAGAGACAGACAACCGTTTGTGCTCACATTCACACCTATGGGCAATTTGGATTAATCAATTAACCTATCCCCACTAACTGCATCTCTTTGGACGGTAGGAGGAAGCCGGAGTACCCGGAGGGAACCCACACAAACACGGGGAGAACATGCAAACTCCTCACAGAAAGACCCCGGCCTGATGGTGGAATTGAACTCAGGACCTTCTTGCTGTGCGGCAACAGTGCTAACCACCGTGCCAACTAAAACTAAAATCATAAGTTTGCCAATTTAAAAAGAAATGAACAGTCTTTAAATGTTATTTTAGTTTAAGTTTAATGAAGTGAGAGACCAAAAATCCAGAAAAAATAATTTGCAATAAATTTATCCGAAGTTCTGTGGTAAGATGAAACCAAAACTGTGCTGGACATGCTTTGTTTGGAGGAATAGAGATGCTGAATATGACCCAAACAACACCATCCCCACAGGCAAGCACAAAAGTGGAAACACTATGCTGTAAAGGCAGAAGACAACGTCACTGTCTTCTGCACCAATGGACAGGGTCATGTACAGTAAAATCTTGAATGAGAATCTCCCACCCTCAGCCAGGATGCAATGGATTGTGGACAGAATGACAATGAACCAAAACATACTGACAACAACAAAGTAGTGCCTAAAGAAGATGCACATTAAGGTCATAGCTTGTGTCCAGACCTCAGTCCAATAGTAAATCTTTATAGGGAGTTGAGGTTTGAAGTTATCAAGTGGCAGGCAGGGAACCTAAAGAATCTGGAGTGTTTCTGTAAAAAGGAATTGGCCAAAATCCCTCCTGGGATGTATACAAATCTGGTACGCAACTAAGAAAGGTGATATCGCTTGCCCACAAGTGTTTCTCCATCAGCTGCTAGCCATATTTTGCTTGGGTATCAAATCCTGATTTCATTCAATGACAATCAATTATCAATTAATACATTTTATGGGACATGCTTTTTTTTCTTCAGGATTTTGGTTAATATTTTGTCTCCATTAAAATCCATCTACCATAAAACTTATAGACTGTTTATCTCTTGATAAGAGAGAAAAACTTACAAATTCAGGAAGGGATCAAACATTTATACAGGGCTTTTAAAGCGGTCAATAGAATTTCAAAATTAATTCTGTATTATTTTTTGTTAACAGCCTAGTTGCTGTATTCTGGACTAAGGCTACGTTCACACTGCAGGCGAAATCCGACTTTTTTGACCCTATGCGACCCATATCAGATCATGGTATGACAGTGTGAACGGCACAAATCCGATATTTTCAAATCCGACCTGGGTCACTCTCGTATGTGGTACTGAATCCGATACATATCTGATGTTTTAGAAAGCGACTGCTGTTTGAACGGTCAAGTCGCATTAAATCCGTCTTTTACGTCACTGACACAAGACAGACGCCAATTATCAGCGCCGGAGAAGACATCGCGAATGCTTCCTGTCCATCCTGTGTAGGTGTCAGTGAAACTGTTGGGAAGACAACATGAACATTTTATTTATATTGTATAATCTGCAGATTCTGACAGAAATCTGCAACTATCCTTTGAAGCACCGCTCCTCTCTAAAACAGCAATAAGGATCATTAGGCCATATGTAAATAACAAAATAACTTAAAGCAAAATTGGGGAACGTAAAGTCCGAAACAAGTCTTTATATCTTAATATAAAGATATAATCAGTAAAACAATACTGATTACATCAGTCAAACAATACTGTTTGGTCTGGGTCTGAACAGAGTGCGTTGTATGTGACGTCTTCTTTTGCACATGCGGGCCGCTTTGAGGGTTCACACAGGAGCACGTTTGCTGTTACATTTTATTTGTAGTGTGAACAAGCAGACAAAAAAATCGGATTTGATCAAAAAATCGGAATTGAGCTTTAAGACCTGCAGTGTGAACGTAGCCTAAGACTGCAACTCTGCTTCCTGGTCCCAACTCTGGATAGTCATATTTTGGGGGGTTTAATAAATTTGTCCATATTTCTAGAAATGAGAGCTGCTCCATCCAAAGTGGGATGGATGCCGTCTCTCCTAACAAGACCAGGTTTCCTCCAGAAGGTTTGCCAATTATCTATGAAGCCCACATCGTTTCTGGGACACCACTCAGACAGCCAGCAATTTAAGGAGAACATGCGGC